GAAGCTAAAAAAATTTATTACACTTTATACAAGTCTAAATTTTTATAAGTAAATTACAAAAATATTATTAATAAAAAGTGGCATCTTTTATATATACTAAAATATTGTATTAAGAACTATAGACTTAAAATTAATATTTAAAGAGTTCACCAAAAATTTCTAAATAATTTTTTTGATTAAAAATTTTTTTAAATTTGTTTATTTTTAGCTTATAAGTAATATATAATTTTTTTTTATAATATAAAATTAAATATATATATATTTTTTTTTTTTGAAATTTGGCAATAATGCCAGTTGGTTTATTAACTTTAATTTGATATAGTACAAATTTACAGTTACATTTTTAGGATTAATAATTATTAGTACTATATACTATCTAATTTTACACTACTGACTTCATCTGGTTACCTATATGGCATCTAAGTGCATGTTTGTTGCATGTCTATATACAGTTATCTTAACAACTACTTGTGATCAGGGCATACTATTAAACTGCTATACAGACAAGGATATCTACTGAATTTAATATAGTATTCCAAATACCAGGGGTACTGTCTTCTGTAAATTGTATCTATATGTCCCATTTACATGTTTTACCTAGTCTTGTTTCTTCTGCCTCTTAATCTAACTATATCTAGTATTATCTTGTTTCTCACATTTTTCAACTTTTTGTTACTGTACTATTTCCAAATTGGTCCTACTTGGATATGTTTGATCCTTATGATTTTCTCATCTTTGGTATGCCTGTTATTGATTCTCCTAAGGTGTTCCAACAATAGTCCAGAATCTGCAAAGAACCTGTATCTCAAACCAGATCTGCTACTGCTATTGGTCTTTTTTTGACCAATTCGTATCTCAAGCCAGGTTTGCTGCTACCATTTTTGCAGATGCCCTAGGTCTTAACATTATATAATAACTCATTGCTGTATTTAACCTTCAACATGGTGCTCCCTTCTATAGTAGAGACTGAGACTTGTTGTGTTTACAAACAGAACAATTCTGGTTATACCTAGGAAGTTCCTTCAACCCTAGTGATACTATACTACCATATATAGCAAGCTCCCAGCTTATTTGATAATATCTGCAGAACAATTCTGATTATGCCTTAGAGAGTTATACCAACTCCAGTAATGCTATACTACCTTGCAGATCTTATCCCACATTTTTGGTTGATCTTAGTCTTGTTCATTATAGACTTCTATATAGGTATGACCAGGAATCTGATTTGGTACTTTTACATTGCACAAGGAAGTTATACATCAACTTTTAAGATTTTTCTCTTCTATAATTAAATTATTCGGCTGTGCCAAAGGTGCTTCTAATTTTTGGTTAGACCAATCCTTTATCACAGTCTGTCCTTATGTTTACTGCTTCTCTTATCATTCTAGTCTTAGTTACTTTTAGAATACTCTCCCAATCAAATTCTCTTTTTGAATTCTAATTAAGACTTATTTGCACAATCTATTAATTATCCTTCTAAACAAATACTCCACAAGTTGAATGCAGGAATGTTGGTATTGCCTATATTAGAAGGTATAAGGATGTTAGTGCTACCCTAGTCTAAAGGACTTACATGTGCAATCTTTCCATAACCATAACCTTTTGTAACAACTGCTTGTTACATATAGTGCCTGCACTCCATGATTGGGTCTTCTTCTGAAAATTTCTATTTTCATCATTGTACTACACTTAGACTTAAGCACAGAGCTTTGCATTCAATTACAGACTCCTTATTAGGTTACAGAAGCTAAAATCTTTTAATTTTGCCTTCAGTTAGACTTGAACCTTTGACCTTGACTGTAAAGAGTATAGAAGCTTAACTGCTAAGCTATAGGACTCACATCTTAAAATTAAATACTGCTATAATATAATCTTTATTTTTAAATATTATCAAATAAAATTTTATTTAAATATTTTAAAATCTAAAAAATATAGATTATAAGCATATTTTTAATAATTTTTCAGGCAAATTTGTCTAGAAAAGCTTACAGTTTAAAAGATAATATATATATTATTAAACAATAAGAAGAAAAGATTAAATATATAAAAAAATATTCATAAAAAAATATATAAACAAATTATCAAAATACAATTAGTAATAGTGGAAATAACATAATTATGTTATTTTCACTTAATCTAGGTTATGTTTGATAATGGGATTATATGTCTGTCATTATTCGAGTGATGACTAATTCGCACTTGTGTCATCAGAGATATATTAGTATTTGCTCTATCATTCGAGTAATGAACGATTCACACTTGCATCATCATTCGAGTGATGATAAATTTGAGTTCACATTGTCATTCAAGTAGTATTCCCTGATTTAGGTTATGCTCGAGTGATGATTAGATTATGAATTCATCATCATGTGTCTTTTTTCTAAGACCAGCTATTTTGTGTTCTTTTTAGAAAACCGAACTTGATAGCATTTATTGTATACTAAATAGGGTCAGAAGAGGCAAAAAAAAATGATCGTACAGTTGCTATCAGGACATGCTATATACATGCTATCAAATATGTATGCAACCTATATCATGTAATTGCTATTGAGTATGCTATTAGTACATGCTATCTGGTCATGCTATACACATACTATATACATATAATATATACTATGTATACCTGTAGATAAAAAAAGAAAAAAAAAGTAAGAAGATTGAAATTTTACTAGGACAACTAGAACAACTAGGATGAGTATTCTAAACCTCTTTTGTTTGGCTTGAAATTACTGACAGATATATTTTTTTCTATCCTACTTTACATTCTAGAAAAAAATTCGGCCTAGTTGGAACTTCAAAAAATATAGGTATCCTGCATATCACATATACATATATTAATTTTCCTTTATCCCAGATGATGCAGAGCATCAAATCTCTGATTCCCTACCTTGTGCCATCTTCATCAGTTTCTTCTGCTGATACTGATTCTGTCTTCGATATTTATCTGCATGAGTATCACAATAGTTATAACCAGAATAGATCAACTTACTACATTCTTTACAAGGTATACATGGTGAAGAATCTCAGTAAACTTTATACTCTTCAGGTCTATAGCAACCTCAATTGCAAACTTTTCCAGTCCTAAGAATATGAGCAATGATAAAATGCAATATTTATATAATTTATGATATAATAATTATTATCTACTAATAACTATTCTTTAGAATTAATTTTTATTTTGAACTTTTTTTTTTGGAATAATATACTAGTAGTAAAAATATATTTACCATGAGTACTCAATATTTTCAGAATGAAGCTCATGCCTGTGAAGGCATTCTTAAGAGCTGTTTTATAATAGAAAACATCGATCATGTGTTAGCAAAGTCAAAAGCACCACCTTCTTGACCAGAGAGCCCAGAAATAGTAGAAGAAAATAATGGAGCCTTTTACCACCAGGGGGGACAAAGCTTTTCCTCAACTACAGATTTCAGAAAATAAAAACTCAAAAAAAGGTCAACTTATGCAATATTTTAGTGAAAATTATTTAACAGGATTATCAACTCATGATAATATAGTTGCAAAAAATGATAAGGGTTTGTCTGTAATTCTTAATAATGCTTTGGATAAATGAGAGAAGATCCCTTTTATGGCTATGATTTTGAGGGTTTATCAGAAAAAATAGGGAAAAAAAATCATTATATTTTATGTCTTTACAACTCTCTTATCAATGGTCAAAAAGTGGTAGTTACTCTTACAGGAATTCAGATTTTTTTTGATATACTTGTACTTAATAATAAATTCGTAAATGGCTTTAAAATAAGAATAGATGAAATTCTCTGTAATACTGTAAACAATTATAAAATAGAACATATTAATGCATTTTCATTACAAGGTTATTATATAGAAAAAAAGTCATATTTACAAATTTTTACACTCAGTAGTGAAATAGAAAAAAAGCCCTTCAAGCTATTCAAGATAAAAATTTCGAAACTGCCTCAGATGATATGTTTTCATTCTATCATAAAATAGCTAGAAAAAATGGAATCTCAATTTCTAGTTAGTCTATAATAAGTAAGTATAGATACAAAAAACATTTCTATTATATACGTGATTTTCAGATTTCTATAAACAATTTTCGATTAGTAGAAGATCTAAAAATAATAAGTGACCATTTTCTGATTTTAGCACTTATGAGAGATTATACACTTATCCTTACATGGGATATAAAGACACAATTACGAGAGGTGGGCGAATTTGCTAAAATACATGATGAAGAAAGTATCATATTCATGATTTGTATAATCTTGCACTAGAAAGACGATCTAAGACCATTAAAACAAATCTGTCTTGTCGATCTTAAAACTGCATCAGACCCACGATGGATAAGCATAGTAGACAATCTCTGTTACACAAGCCTTCCAGATTTGAAAATTGTGACTTAGTGCTAATTTACCTAATTAAAATGCGAGATTTTTATAATATCGACATTACAGATATGTTATATTATCAGTTATAGTATTTAACTTTTCGCTTCTTGTATTTACTTAATTTACATAATTTCAATTTACACACTATTTCAAATTTGTGATCTACCAATGCCTTTACTCTTTTTGCTATATGTACAGACTTTCGTATTTAGTAATATTGGATATTATAGTATTCAAAGATTTAAGTTATCTTGATGCACAATATGTTACTTAGTTATAATTTATATTTATATATTTAATAATTTATAATTAAAGAATAGCGGTTTCAAAACTTATGAATTAGCTCAAACTACTACAAATGTGTATATATGCAGTCACGCACATCATATAAAAATAAGTGATTACTTATGAATTAAAATAAACTGTAAGTTATTATCAGTTACAAGTAAATTTTTATATATGAATTATCTAGTAGTTATGTAATTGGGATTGGGATTACATAAATTTGTTATTATGTATATTATATCCAAAATTTCACAAATAAATAAAATTAACTAGTATTATTAAAAATAAATATTTTTTTTATTGTCAAATAATAAAATGTTTAATTAAAGTATATTGAAAAAAATAATATTAAATATTTGTAATATTAGCATTCAAAAATTTTTCAAGAATTGTAGAATAAGCTTGCTTTGCTCTTGGTAATGCTTGCTTATCCTTTTGAAGCACCTCCAATATATTATCTTCATTTAATATCTTCTGATTTTGTGAACTCTCTTCATCAGTATCAATAAATTCCTTTAGATTCGATTTACTCTTATCTAATTTACTTAATTATAAAAGAAGAGAAGAAACATTATTTCGTATACCTAGTTTAAGAAAATTTTTGCAATAATAACATTTTCTTCTTAATGAAATACTAAAACAGCTCTCATGATATCCATGACCACATATAATAACTATAGAGCCTTTACCTGTCCCATCATATAATAGCTTATAACAATAATCATACTTGTTATATGTTGATAAATGCTTACTGCTGAATCCTAGTAGCATTTGCTTTTTGTCTACAGTAATGTTCAATGATGCTAGCTTGTAGGCAATTTTTTCACTCTGTTCCTTAACAATGGAACTTTGACCAAGCTTTTGATAAACATTACTGAAAATTTTAAAAAGAAATACCTCCGCTTTCTTTGTTAATAAAGCCAAATGATCTTTATCTACATATGTAGATTTTTGCTGAATAATGAATTTATCTTCAAAAGTGTTAATCGTCATTCTGTTATTAATGATCTTAGCTGTTCTAGAAAGTTATTGCAGGGTATCACAAGGTGAGGTCTGTCATCATATTCTGTTATGCATATTTTCAACAGGATAATCTGTAAACTTAACTAAATAATCTGTTAGTATATTTAATATTGGATGATTATTCTGACTTTAATAAAATACATCTGAAAGAAATGCTAAAGGTGCTTTGTTATAGTTACATCTTTCAAACCACAATAAAATACACCATGCCTGAAATATGCCTTCGATGTATGATTTCCAATCTTCAGATCAAAATAGAATCAAATATATATCTAATTCGACTAGTATCATATTGTCTAATAATTCAAACAAAAATAAAAACTTAGTATCTTTGCAATATTTATTAAACTTACCTATTACAATCAGTTTAATTTCTTTCCAGGCACTCCTTATGAGTTCTAAAAGTACAAAAATTCAGTACAGGCTTGGTGTTTTACTCAACTCTTTACTTGCACAAAAAATATATTAGTACTCTATATTAAAAAAATCCCAATAAGTCTTTAGTATAGACTCAATTAAGTTTAATTGAATATGAAGAATGCCAATAATTGAAATAAATGATAATATGCTGCTTGGTATATTGTTTTCATGATTTAGTAAATGAAGAGTAATGGCTTGTTGTGAAAAAACCTGCCTGGGTCAATCAGCTACAACTGGAAGAACATAATTAATTAAATAGTTAGTTAGTAAAGGGATTTTGTAAACTTGTTGTAAAGTATTAATATATGAATTCATATCTTTAAGACTTAATTCAAAAAATTCTAGAAGCATTGTGTCCTTCATTTTACACTTCTCCTGTCATTCTTTTATGTGATCATTGTATTTGTGAAAAGTCATATTTTCAAGCTTCTTATCCAAGGATATTTTATAATAAAACTGGTCATTAAACATTTTAGCCATTTGTCTCATATAGTAGTGATCTAAAAAAGTACATATAATTTCAAAATCAATTAGTTTTGGATTATGAATTGATATATCATCTGGTTTAACTTGTGGAATAGCTATTGCATCAATGCTATTTAGCAGCAAGGTTGTCATGTATGCTGCACTTGATGTTGTACATGTATTCAGAATTCGTTTGGTATAGATATTATAATAATCATCAATGTTAAGCACTAAGGCATTATTTTTCTTGCTTTCTAGATATGAATTAATCTTAGACAGATGATTATCAGTAATAGCTGCCTTCTCTCTATCAAGATGCCTTTGTGAAATTGTTATACCAGCATGTAATAAGATATCTATAGCATCTGTTGAAACCCCATCAAATCTACAAAAAGTGAAATATTTTTCTTAAATGTTGTTAATTTAGAATTTTGATTGTTACAAAGAATATAACATTTTACTGCCAATTTTTTATCTAACTTATCTAAATATTTATCACTTTTATTATTTTCAGGAAGTGATGCATTATATATTGAATCAAAGAAACTACTTAGCCTGAAATCCTTAGCCACCATCTCTCTTCACAGTTGTTTAAAGCTGTAAATTGCTGGATCTTTTTTATATTTCTTTCAATTATATAGAAGCTTGGTTAGAACACTAACGCTATTTATCTATATAAGATTGTGATTATTTTCCACTACTTCATCTTTTAAGTTCCAAAGCAGAATAGCCATGCTTGATTCCAGCACATCAAATAACATTGATATGCTAAAGAATGATCAAGCACTTTTCGTTCAGCATCGTTTTTTTTTCAAACAAACCATTGCTTCAATTTCATCAAAAAAAAACTTAATTGGTCATTTTTGCCTTCAGTGATAGATCGAAGCTTGAAAAATGAAACAATAGGTAGATCGTTTCCTATAATTTTTCTTTCCAAGATAATGTTAATTAATAAAGAAATACTTTCAGACATAGAGAGGCTATCATCCTTTCTATGTTTTTTTAATCCCCTTTCATATTCTATAACATGTTTCTTAAAAACGTTTGTTTCATTTACTACAATCACGTTATAGCAATTAGAACATATATACTTACCTTTATAGTCTCTATAATATGAAGCCAAAGTTCTATTAGCTTCTGCTTTATTCAACATGTTTTCAGTTATTTTTCTCTAAGTTGTCGTAGAAACACCTTTGCAGATCTTCACAATGCACTGTCTGCTTGAATCTTGAATTGATCTACTGTCCATTTTCTATAAACTTTGTCTCTGATAAAAAAACTTAAATATTCTGATTATTTTTAATTAAATTTAATATAATATAGGTTACTCAAAGGATTTTCAGTTGCTCTTTTTCGTTTGTCAAATTTAATTGGCAATTTTTGAAAAATTACAGAAATAAAAAGTACTTTAAAATGCTTTAAAGTGTATAAAAAGTTAAAAAAATTTTTTTTATTCAATTGTGCTGATCATTACCAAATCAGGGTTTGTCCACCATGCTCAATGGATAACAGTTGTATGTGGGAACCAGACAAATTTACTGAAAGCATTCGCATTATGCTGAAAAGCCTTCATCTCTGATATTCAACTCAGATTTAGCGATTCTAAATATGATTGGCCATTTATTATAGAAAGAGCTTATAGACTTAATATTTTCGAATAGATGTAGCAACAAATGATGAAAAGATTTAAATCAAAGGAAGAAATTCTAAAATGGAATTATTATAAAAAAATAGAGGCAAAATCTAAAAATAATTTTCAAATTAAAAAAGGTGTTATTGATAATAGTAAAGAAGAAAATGATAAGGTACAGCTAGTTATAATCAAGATTAGTCTAGAGGATAATTATATTTCTATTTTTCTTAAAGTACCAGGATGTGTACCAATTGACATATGTGTATATTTTAAGAAACTTTACCCTCATGCAAAGGTTGATAGGAAAAGTTTACTTGCAATTTACTTAAAAATATGTGAATTGGCTGGTAAAGCAGATATGCTATATAATAAAATATGAAAAATTTACTCAAAAGCAAAAGAGAGTATTTTCTCAAATAAATCGCATTCTATTATAGAAAAAATGCATAAAGTAGCATATTATTGTATTATAAATACATTGCGTTGCTAGAAGCTTATAGTTAAGCAGAATGTAATTAATGACTATAGGGAGGTTGCTTCTATAGCCTATGTATCTTTGTTTAATTCACATTATCAGGCAAATAGAATGAAGGTATGAAATCTTCTGGGGGCTTATGCTACTAAATGTAATATACTATTTAGTACAAGATCATGTAAAAATATAGAAAAAGATAAGTATCCTGGTGCATACATATTTCTACCTAAAAAAGAAATTGAGACGAAAAGGCCTGTTACAGGATTGAATTTTGCATCTTTATATCACTGTCTTATTATGGCTTACAACTTTTTTCCAGAAAAAATGATATTAACTTATAGAAAGGCTGATATTGTACAAAAAAATAAAAATAACTTGCATAAGATTGAGTTTCTATTTAATAACTGTATTGTTTATGCTTGGTGTATAAGATATGATAATCAATTCGAGAAGAAGAGTTTATATCCTATTATATTAGAGGATCTATTCAATAAGAGAGTAAATCTTAAAGCACAGCTTGCCTCATTAGGAAAGAAAAAAGAACATCTTGGAAAAATGATAAATTCAATTAAAAAGAAAGATAAAAAAATCTCAGAAAGCTTAAATTCAGAATATTCATCAATATGTTTCGATTATAATTGCTTAAATTCCAAGCAGTTCACTTTAAAGGTATATATGAATACTTTTTACAGAGAAACAGGAAACAGCAAATTTTTATTCTTTCTTTATGAATTAGCTGAAGGAATCACTTTAGCAAGTCAGTATAATATTGATCTTGTTGCTAAGTTTGTGTTTAGAAAAGGTTTCAGAATAAAATATAAAGATACCAATTCTTTATATCTTACCTGTTCAGATAAATATTATAAAAAATATGATAGAGCTTTTAATGAAGAAAACCTTTCCAAGGAGGAATACTGGTCTGAAATGGATAAAATTACCATGAATATGATGAAAAAATTATGTGATAAAGTAAATGCTTATCTGAGGATAAAAAATGACACATCTTATCTTAAAATAGTATATGAAGAGATATTATTTCCTGTTTGTTTTACTGATAAGAAAAAATACTTCAGTATACCACATGAAGGAGTTGTCAATTTCAAACCAGATAATCTCTTTAAAAAAGAGATTGATAGCATAAAGCAAGGCCAGTTCCAGCTTTTTAAATTTATCAAAGAAAAAATCATGTGGGAAGCTATAGATATAAATAATATACGATCAATTCATAAAATTGTTGAAGATACTCTTAGAAAGGCCAAAGATAAGCAATAGGACTTTAGTCAATTTATTGAGATGGCTATGTGGAAGCCTAAGAAAAAAAATCTTCATGTTCAGCATTTTATAGCTCGAATGAAAGAAAAAAAATTAAATATTTCGGATCCTAGTGAGCATTTTAGTTATGTAGTAGTGAAAGGTGAGTGTTATTGCAATGAAAAGAATCAATTAATATCGTATAGAGTCAGTGATTATATGGAATATCTAGAGTTTGCAAAAGAGCAGAATATGGAAATAAATATTAACTACTATTTAGAAAGTATGTTGGAATTATGTGCGTAGTTTATTAATGAAGATGAGAAATATCAACTACCATCTTCATATAAAATTATGCAACTTGAAGATTCAGATGAGAAAGAAAAACAGATTGATGCATATTCGCAAAAAGAAACTAAAAAATGGCTTACAAAATATATTAAAGCCTTGAATTGATTAGTTGTGCTATTCTATATTGTTAAGTATTCTTAGTTAAAATTGCCAGACTTCACTAAGATACTTATATGTCTTTAGACACTATCTTCAATATACATTATTAATAATATTTTTTTGTACATAAAAAATACTGAAGTATAAATAGATAGTTCCTAATGCCTAGCCCACGCACCCTATAGCTAATCACTTTTTTTACCTATACTCAATCTATGCCTTAATACCACAAACCATATAACTGCAATAATCAACAAGATAAAAATAATATATGCCAACAGTAGTGATATCTGAAAATTCGATTCAATTAAAGAGAAGGTATGATTTTCTGACTATACAAAGTATGAAGCCATATTTGATATTCTTTGGAATACATTGTTGTTAGTTCTACTAATATTGATGTCATCACTTAACTTGGTAGAATTCTCGACATCGACTTTTGAAATTGGAATATAGCTTTGAATCATTGATTCCTCAGATATCAGGATATTCTTATAATCAATATGATCTGAGATATTATCATTAATTTTTTCAGTTTGATCTATACTTTTTTTATATATAAAATATTTACTGAGATTTTTGATAAGTTTACTAATTGCAGATATATTATCAGACTTGATTATAGAACTTTGTTCCTCGCTCTGCATATTTTTTTCATTATTCCTACCAACTACAAGTTTTGATTTATTCTCAGATTTTAGATATCTAAGCTTACTAACTATTGAAGCTAACTCTTGTTTCAATTTAATTATTTTGATTTGAGAGATAATATCTCAGATTCTTTTTTAGTCGAGTTATTTTAAATTGAAAATGCATCCTTCTAAGCCAATATTAACTTATCTTTCAATATTTTGATTATTAACTGGAGCAATTTTATTTTTTTCAATTGGGCATCATACTTGGCTTTATATTCAGTCTGGAAAATTTGTGATTGAGTAAGTTGAGATGTAAGGTTAGTATTCTCATTTTGAAGTTGTTTACTCTCATCAATAATTTGTGAAATATGAGTATATAATTTTTGAAACTCGGTACTATAATGCAATAAATCCCAATTCTACTTTTTTCTTTCTCGATTGAAAGCCTTCACTTGTTTCAAGTATTTGGATTGTAATGTTTTATTGCAATTATTTAGCTCATATATAGACTTTAAACTGTGATGTAAAGATTTTTCAAGTTTTTGTTCCTGCATACTACCAAAGTGATGCCCTTTATCAAAATCTCGTAGTGTATATATATTGGCCATATATCTTTGGTTAAACTATATGTAATATACATAAGATAATTTATATATTTTAGAATCTGATATAAAGTATTAAAAAATATTGGGTAATTACTGGTTACTTTAGAAAATTATTGCAAAATAAATATATAATTACTGGTTACTTTAGAAGATTATCACACATTGATTATATATAATTACTGATAATTTTCGAAAATTATATATATATTTTTTTATAATTAGAAAAAAGGATGGAACACATAATTGTAGAATATTATCATGCTGAAATGCCTTATTTATCTCCAGAAGCTATTGAAAAAATTATTTAATCTCAAAGAACAATTAAAAATGCATATAAAAAAATGGTTGATAAATATGGTACTTAAATATGTCAAATTTATGAAATTTGGAAAAGGCATGCACAAGGATTATCTCAGCGTAAGCAACAAATGATACAAAACACCTTTTCTTCTGAAATAGCATCTATGCCTAAAAATAATATCTCAAATGAGCAGACAAAAAAGAAAAGATCTAGTTCTAGATCAATTTACTTTTCTTACTTGTCTTCTAATAGTGGAGAGAAGATAAGAAAAATAAGTGAAAATATTATAAATAATGACATTCCTAATACAGATATAGTTGCCCAAATTGAGTGAGAAATAAAAAGAAAGGATAAAAACTTAGCTAGTAGCACTCGTATAAAATCTACTACTTAATCTATATTGATTTTATCTGCAACAAACTCAATAATATTATCACACTTCACTTGCAAAGCTTTATTACAATCATTAAGTTCTGTAATCAATTTAAATGCATTATAAAAACTTTTCTTATACTTCTCGCAATTTATGTATTTTTTTTTAATGCTGTATTGTTATCATCACTATCTACATTCTGCGAGATTTGATCAGGTATTGAAGTATTAGTATCTTGAGATGTAGTTGCCAATTCACCTCTAATTTATTTTTAACCTTGTGCATATTGATTGGGATAAAGAACTCCTTACCACTGCATACTAACCTCAATTAGTGATTTGATGCAAGTAGATCGTAATTATGTTTATCAAGCAAAGTATTAGGTAAAATCAGCATTGGCTTATGATGTTTAACAATGGCAAAATCAGAATATATAGTACAACCTAAGGTGAAAGTTACCAGCACATTATGGATGATTCCAATTAATTCAGTAGGTGATGTAACAATTCCACTGAGATTATGTTTTTCTTTTGTATTAATTACAAATTTTAAATGTTTAACAATGTCTTCAGTTATAATTGGAAAATTTGCACCAGGATCAATCGTGGCTGCTAGAATTACTAATTTTTTGATTTTACACTTTGTTGTAACAACATCTGTGGCTGTATCTTTTTTCTGAACAAAATCAATTTCCATAAGATTATCTATACATCAGCAAAATTTATATACAGATATGAATCGATATATAGCACATAATCGATATATATCATTTAAAATATATCGATATATATTGATAAAAATGTTATATATCGATTATT